AACCCATTCAATCAAACAACTAATTACCATATAACTTAAACACTAACCCATTCAATCAACCAACTAATTACCATATAATTTAAACACTAACCCATTCAATCAAACAACTAATTACCATATAATTTAAACACTAACCCATTCAATCAACCAACTAATTACCATATAATTTAAACACTAACCCATTCAATCAAACAACTAATTACCATATAATTTAAACACTAACCCATTCAATCAACCAGTGTTTAAATTATATGGTAATTAGTTGACCCATTCAATCAACCAACTAATTACCATATAATTTAAACACCAACCCATTCAATCAACCAACTAATCACCATCTACTATCTTTTTATTTATTCATTCCGTTGCAAACAAACCTGCCCTAATATCCAAGTTTTTAGCAATAGTTTAATCAAACACTCATCCACTCTTTTAAAACATATATCTTTCCATTTATGTTATTTACATACTGTTTTGTTCATTCATCAATCCAGTTTACTTATACACACTATATGTGTGTGTGAGAGTGTAGTTCTGAGAGTTGAAACTTACCTCATTTCTTTAAGACTGCCCACAGCTATAATCTAGTTCTGAGAGATGAAAATTACCTCATTTCTTTAAGACAGTCCACAGCTATAATGTAGTTCTGAGAGATGAAACTTACTTCATTTCTTTAAGACAATCCACAGCTATAATCTAGTTCTGAGAGATGAAACTTACCTCATTTCTTTAAGACAATCCACAGCTATAATATAGTTCTGAGAGATTAAACTTCCCTCATACTGTTTTTTTTTCATTCATTAATCCAGTTTATTTATATAAACTCCACCTTTTTTCGGGATATCTATAAACAATCATTTTTGTAAATAGATATATATATACATACACACACACACACCTTTGTATCTAAATTAATGTCCTAACAACAGGGTTGAGTACGTTATCAAAACGATTTTCAATATGAAAATCAGCACACCACGAGACAATCATAATTGATATAAAGTCACGGTGGAACGGTATGTATCAGACATGTAATGACATTTTTTGGGATCTCGTTGGTAGTGTGATGCTACTTAAAAGTGATTGCTTTTGAAAAGGGTCTGTAAGAGCCTTTTCTGACACAAAATAATCATGGACGCAGATAATAAAGATGTGTTCAGATCAAGGATTCATAAATATATTTGAAAAGTAAAGTAAGACACTATATAACATTGGATTGAAGTTCAATATATTGTTACGACAGCGGAAGTCACGTGACGCTGGTAACACGTGATGAGTTTCTAGAAG